TCACCTCAGTTTGCTTTAGGACAGAAAACTGGGAGAGTTGAGCTCTCCTCCCTTTGCCCAGTATGTGATGGAAGGAAAAAGGGAGGAGAAATGACAGAGGACCCCCAAGGAGTTTTTGGCATCTAGCAGGAAAGGAGGTACAGGAGTCACCAGAGAGCAATTTGTAGGAAATCAGACTTCCCAAATTCCTCTGTTCATGGAAAAAATATTTTCTTTCTCTTTTCTCTTTTTTTTTTTTTTTTTTTTTTTTTTTTTTTTTTTTTTTTTGCTTGTTTCTTCAGTTACCATATACTTATCTGCTATGACTGATTTTAACACAGCTGAGAAAACACATTTATTACCAAATGGCTTGGAACAACCCTGATACAAATTCCTCTTTACCCCACTTGCCTTTTGACCACTTCTTTGCCCTGTCCAAACACTCAGACTCTTTTTACTGAGCTCTGCGAAATTTCCCTCTGCTCCAAAGCCAAGCTGCCTTCCATGTTGCAGGCTGTGGTGAGGGTTGGCCTCTGGTAACCCCTGAGTCCTGCTGAATGTGCTTTTTCTTGACTGACTGCCAAATCCTTGACTGGAACATGCAGCTACATGTGCCTTGCCTTGCATGTACCCTAAAAGAGGAACCTCTGGGTCTGCACAAGTGCTTCCTTAATTTCTTTGTATCCTTGTTCTGCTCTGGTGTGCAGCGCATCTCTGAATCCAAGGTTGTGCAATGCTATTGAATTAGGTGTGATGACAGAAGTGGGTTTCACGGTGGAGTTAATGCTGCTTCCGGGGTTAGTGCTAGCCAGGCACTGAATCACAGCAGTGCTTTTCAGTGCCGTTTGTTATTTCCTGTGCCCAGTGACAGCAACAGAGCAGAGTCTCATCATGAAGAAGAAATACAGGTTCCCATTCCAATCTTACCTAGAATAGGAATTTCCACTTTGTGCAAATCAGCTGCAGGACTGACTGTGAGATGTAATATATATAAAGCTGGCAATGTGTGCTTACATCAGATGATAACTTTCAAGAGGTTGAAAGAACTTCCTGCCTGTGTAAGTAAATTCCTGCGCTTTAAACTCTCGAGTTTACTGATAAAAACTGCGTATACTTTAGTATTTTCATTCTGAGTGGTGATTTGTTTCTTCCACCTTTCCTGAATACTCCTAAGTTAAGAGAAGCAGAATATTTTAATCAAAGTTAAGAGCTCTTTATGAATTTTTTCCCTTTTTAGTTCTTTGTTTTTGAAATTTTAGTGCGAGTGTGCTCTTGTACCTGTTCATTTGGATTGCTTTAGTGGTCTGTTTCCTCTGGGTATCTCTTTTTTTCCAGTGTTAAATATTTCTTTTCTTCTCTGAGTTTCTGTAAGATAATGTGACCATGACCAGTAATATTCACAGATGCAGGAAATTGCCAGCAATCTTGTCTAGACCAATCTTATGAATTAGACATCTGGGTTTTTTGAAAATTGCTAAAAACAAGACATCTTTCTGGGTTGCCTCTACCACTTGGTTTTATTTAATTTACAGTTTCTTTTTTATATTACCTTTGCCTTTCTCTGTCGCTCTTGATCTCCTCTCCTCATCTATCATTTTTTATTATATTTTCTTGAAATCTGTGCCAGAGGATCATTTTACTGTCTAAATTTTTGTGCGGACAGAGATTCAGAGGGTAAGTGAAACAGTTAACAAGTGGCCTTGACTTGAAGTTGGTGCAAGTATTTGTCTTACATTGTGTACAGAAATGCGCAACTCAGTTTTTGAATGCATTTCATGCAGTTACATGTAGTGTGACTTTCCACGGAACACTGGGAGTGTAGAGCGTGTTGCTTAAAACCTGAATAATCAGGAATGCATTTCTGGTGAGGCCAGTCTCTTATCAGTGGTACATGGAGACAGGAGAAGGGGAAACGGACATAAACTGCAGCATAGGAAGTTTTGAACAAATGTGCACAAGAACTTCTTTACGGTGAGGTGACGGAGCACTGGAACAGGCTGCCCAGGGAGGTGGTGGAGTCTCCTTCTCTGGAGATGTTCAAGTCTCGCCTGGATGCCTACCTGTGCGACCTGATGTAGGGAACCTGCTTTGGCGGGGGATTTGGTCTCGATGATCTCTGGAGGTCCCTTCCAAACCCTACAATTCTGTGATTCTGTGATTCTGTAATAAGCCAAAACATTGCTTTGCTTGGCAAGCCTGTATTTTGAGTAGGATTTTTTGGAGGGGACTTAGGAAGCAGACATGAACTATATTTCTACTATATGATATATTTCTACTATAACTCTAAGCAAATGTACTTCTGACACTGCTATGAAACAGTAGGCCTCTGCTACAAAACTGGAAGGGTTGGAGGGTGAATCAGCCCCATTGTTTCTGTACATACATCTCAAACATCATACAGATGGCTTAATAAGTATGCAGGCAGTTACCTCTCCTTCAGCAAACACTTTCCTTCCACCCTTTCTTCGGTGGTATTTCTGTGGGGAAGTATGAGGACGGCCATGAGCTCTACTTAACTCTCCTCTATTGACATATCTGAAGCAGTATGTGGAACAGTAATCTATTTTTCTACCACACCTCTCTGTTGTACTGCCTTTGCTGGGGCAATTAGCTATACCTAGATGAGGACTTGTCATACTCTTATCGACCTCCCACAGAGAGTGCCAAGGTAAGGAAGGAAATCTCCTGATTTCCCAAGTCGCGATCTTTAACATGAGCCTCTTCTGACGCTGTTTCCTGAGCAAGCTGTTTTCTCTAATGTCTGTGATCAGTTCTGTGTAAATAATACCCTGAGCAAAATCAAGAGTCGTAAATTCCTTGGCAGATGCTTTTATCTGCTGTCACATTTTGATACTTTCAGCTCACCAGCTTTGATAGTCTCTAATTAATCTTTGTAAGTGTTCAGTTCACAGAAAGGAAAACACCATTTTCAGTCAGGATTGTTTTTCTTCCAGTCTGGAGGAAAGAACAATGAAGAAAACAAAGGATGTTTTCTGTAAAACCCGCTCAGAATAAACAATCCATTAAAACAAGAAGAGTATTTGACCTCTCATTTGAGTGTAGAAACTAGGGTCTACTATCAGACACAAAATGCCAGGAAGGGCACCAAGTGTCTCATGGTGATAGGTCTCAAGTACACACTGACACACTGCATGTTCTGCTTGATAATGAAATACTGTGAAGTCAGCGTGTGTAGTTAGAGGAAAATGAGGAACTGGGACAGAAGAATGGTCCCAGATATTATCTGATATATATGGCTCTGGTAATAGAGCACTAAGTTTAAAGACTCATAACACTCAAATTCGTTGTTCCTATAAACTAGTAATTTGTGTTCATGAACAGTTCATTTCTGTGTAGGAATATATAATAAAAATATAGGAATATATAATAAAAAGTGGAAGTATCTCACAATCTACAAGACAAGCTATGTACTACAGGATGATAGCAGCTAGCAGAAACTGAAACACGAGGATTGTTTATTTCTTGCACTGCTTGGCAAAGTTTCAGTATGCTGTGCTGAGTTCCTACGTGTCCTGAGAAGAAGAACTATGCCTAACATATAACCCCCAGAACAGAAGTCAGAAATGAGCAAACTGATGCTGTTGGTAATGCGAAAGGGAAGAAATAAATATCTTATGAGGAGAAAACATATGGCTGTATTCAGAACCCAACACCAATACTGCCAGTAGGGGTATCAGATACGAGCTCCACCTCAGCAGCAAATGTATGAAGTGCCTCCAAAAAATTGTTCCAGAAATTCCTTGTCTCCCAGCAAGTTTAAATTGTGAAAACCTCCCTCTTTGATACCCCTCACAGAAGGTCTTGGCAGTCAGAGATCAAGAAGATCGGTACGTTAATGTGTGTTAAGTGATTCAATAAATCTAATGTTAAGAACAAACCCTTTTTCATCTCTGATCTCGGATAAAACTTAGGTGAGATAGTAGACAAATTAAAAAGTATGTAAAATAATTTCAATTTCCTGTAGTTTTCGTAGAATCACAATATCAGAGAGTGGCTTGAGGTTGGGAGGGACCATAAAGCCCATTGAGTTCCAAGCCCCCTGCAGCAGGCAAGGTTGCCAGCCACCAGCTCAGGCTGCCCAGGGGCCCATCCAACCTGGCATTGAGTGCCTCCAGGGATGGGGCACCCACAGCTTCTCTGGGCAGCCTGCCCCAGGGCCTCACCGTCCTGAGTAAATAATTTCCTCCTAACATCCAACCTAAAGCTCCCTTCATTTAGTTTAAAACTGTCCCCCCTTGTCTTATCACTATCTGCCCATGTATTAATTCCATCTCCCTTCTGTTTGTAAGTTCCCTTTAGGCAATGAGATCTCCCTGGACACTTCTACAGGCTGAAGAAGCCCAGCTCCATTATCTTTTCCCCATAGGAGAGGTGCTCTAGCCTTCTGATGATCTTCATGGCCTCTTCTGGCCTTGCTCCAACAGCTCCACATTTTTCTTGTGTTGGGGGCCCAGGTCAAACAGACACAGATCAGACACAGAACTCCATGTGGGGCGTCACAAGGGTAGAGCAAAGGGGAGCAATATTATCCCTTATCCTGCTGGTCACTCCTCTTTTGATGTAGCTCAGGATACAGTTAGCCTGGATTTGAGCTGCAAATGCACACTGCTGACTTACTTCCACTTACTCATCCACCAGAACCCCCAAGTCCTTCTCTGCTGGGATGCTTTTAAGGAGTTCTCCCTGTCTATACACACATGTGGAACTGCTGCAACCCAAATGCAACAACTTGCACTTGACCTTGTTGAATTTCATTAGGTTCAAGTGGGCCTGCTTCTCAAGGTTGTCCAGATCCCCTTCTTATAAACTTATTTTGCTGCCCTACTTCTGCATCATCTTTTTATGGAGTAGAGGAAATTCTAAGAAAAGTACTACTGCTCTGTCACTTTATCTACATGTTACCATTAAAAGCATTCTTGAACAACATAACTGTGTTTAAACTGAAGGTGCCAGTGTCCCCCACTCCCCTTTTTTTCTTTTTTTTTTTTTTCTACCTGTAGGAATTTTTAAGTAGCCAGGAATATGGTGGAAGCAGTACTGATTGATCTGTTCAGCCTGCCAGCCAACTTACACAGTGACATTCAAGGAGTACTGCATAACACCCTGGAAACTATTGAGAAGTGCTCTTCCACTCCTGCTCCATTTGTGTATGTCATGTGCTGCCAGATGCCAGAGAGTGAAAGGAAAGGTGAACAAGAATCCTTGTTTCCAGCTCTGAGAGATTTCCAGAGTATTAAGGAAGGACTTGAGGTGGTATGTGCTCAGACTACAGCTGCTGTGTTGTACACCATCAAACAAATACTTGATGAAAAGGACTTAAGCATCATTAAAGTTATTCTCCCGACCCTAAGGAAGGAATCAGTGAAAGTATATATAGACCATCTCTTTACTGCAGTCTACCAGTTTGAATTTGAGGATTTAAACGTGGCATCTGATTGTAATAACCTGCAGACGATTGGACCAAAGAGTGAAGAGCAAACAGTTTCTACACAGGACGTGGCACTCATCCGAAGTGAGATTCAGATGCACTTGGAAAGCCTGCCAAGCCTGAAAGGGGAGCTCACCATCCTCAAATCTTCCCTAATTCCAGGTAGAGTGCTATCCCAGCTAACAGATTTTATGTAGACTGCTCCTGAATGAATCTCTTCAAGGGTATTGCAAAATGGGTAAGATGTGGAAATACCTAAGCAAATATCTCCATGTGGTATTGTAATAGTGTATCATGTCTGTAAGAGGGGAAGTGACAGTGCAAATACAGTAAAAGACCTGCAAGTCTTTTCCAGAACATGGTCAGAGGAGAAAGAGGCCTAGGTCTAATGAGAGCACTTTTGCAGACAGAAAAATCCCTTCCCCTCTATCTGGGAATTACATGCTTTCAGAGTTACTGTCACGTTCTGGAAAGGCAGGGTAGGACTTTTTCCCCAGTCTGCAGCCTCATGCACGCCTGGCTGATCAGACTCATGGCTCAGTGTCCCAGCTATGACATGGCCCAGCTTACTGCATCATGACTCTCAAACAATTACGGAGTCTCTTGGTTCAGAGGAAAGCTAAGAGGTTCCCTACTGCAAAAATTTGGAACTGTGTTTCCCTTAAAAACATGTCTGAAGTGATCCAGGAAATAAAAGGAACGCAGATTACTTAAAGCCATCTGCCTTCATTATGTTTCAAACTTTTTTCTGCGACTTTTACCCAACTGCACAAAAGATATTTCAAAACTTAACTCTGATTATGTCACTAAGTTTGTCAACCATCAAGATAGCAAATACCAGTTCTGGGGCTTTCTTTCAGGATTCAGCTTTGCCATGCAGAACCCTCACCCCAACATGAAACCCAGCAATTCCTTTTGGTGCATGAGATCACAGTACAGACTCTGTACTGTAAAAACGGAGGACTTTTCCAGTAATGTGAGAAATTCTTGATCCTCCCACTGCACTTCAAAAAGATGTTTGAGATTCTTGAAGTCTTGAGAACTGGTACTTCATTTGCCCCCTTGAAATAATAGAATCATAGAATGGCCTGAGTTGAAAAGGAACTCAATGATCATCTAGTTTCAACCCCCCTGCTATGTGCAGGGTTGCCAACCACCAGACCAGGCTGCCCAGAGCCACATCCAGCCTAGCCTTGAATGCCTCCAGGGATGGGGCATTTTAAACATTTTTAAATGTTGATTAAAAAATCTATTCTCCTTTCCTGAGTGAGTTGCCTCTTCTCTTGGATTTGCACAACACCTCTGTCAGGAGCCAGGCAACATCTGCCATGCCTCCATCTCCTCAAACCTCTCAGAGAATTATGATTATGAACAAGAGGGAGAATTTAAATGGCAGAGTTGAATAAGAGGTAAAGCAGCACTGAACTTCTTTGATTTCAGTTCTCTTCAGTATAGAGCCATGTAATATTTGGATTAGTCTTGTGTTGAAAGCAAGTGCTCGTTGTCTTTCTTTGTCAGATGACATCTTCCTACATGGATTCACCACAAGGACAGGTGGGATCTCCTACATACCAACTCTAAGCTCCTGCAATCTTTTCAGCAGTTCTAAGCGAAGGGATCCACAAGCTGTTGTTAAAGAAAACCTCCGCAGGCTTGCTAATGCTGCGGGATTTAATCCAGAGAACTTTCACAGAGTCAAGGTATATTATCAAACAACGGGTTTATGTAAAATAATCAAATCTTCCTTTATATATCACTGGCTAAAAGTGTAGGTATTACTTTTATCTTTCTAAGCAAGGACCTGCAAAAAGCTGAGCAATTAAAACATTTATCCTTGCACTTTAAATGAGGAAATTGCCATCCAGACTGTCAGCCGTTGGTAAAATATGGAGCAGCAGCATTGTTTCTTCCAAGTATATTCTATCTTTTGATTTACCACAGAGTAGAATAATCAGATAAACAATCAGTGCAGGTTTTCTTAAAAAACAAACAAACAGACAATACCACTTCTTTAGTGTCTCTCTACTGTTACACCTGCATGGCATTTGAACAAGAGAGTGCCTGATTTCCATGCATAGCAATTGGTGCAGAAGAGATTTTTCTATGCAAGAAAAATCCCAACCAAAACCACAACCAACTTGCATTAATCAGAATGTTTTTTACTGTCTCACCACTGTACACATTGTGCTTTTATTTTGACAGACTGATCATGCTAACGCTGTGTATGTAATGGGAAAGACAGAGCCTGACAGCTATGATGGAATAGTTACAAATCAGAAAGGTGTTACAATAGCAGCTCCAGGGGCTGATTGCATACCATTGCTGTTTGCTGATCCTGTCAGAAAAGTCTGTGGTGCTGCTCATTCTGGTAAGGACTTTAAATCACAGAGATCAAAATAACTAAAAGACTAGAAGAATAACTAGAAGAATAGCTTGTTTACTGAGCAATGAAATTTGTTGATTTCATAGCTGTAATAATAATTATGTGTACTTTTTGGACGTGAAAACTAAGTAATTTTTTTCTATGCACCATCAAACTTCTTGTGGAAAGAACAGTTATAAATCCAGTGCCCACAAAAATCATTTTGGATTGGATGAAAAGTTTGGTTGGCCTAGACAATGAGTGTAAAACCAAAGCAAGGATGGGTATGACAGTGTGCAGATATGTGTGATTTTAGTATACGTCCCAAATGTTAGGCTAGATCATGTATACTGTGATAAGATTTTCCTGTTGGAGCTTTTTTATTTCATAAAAACACTGTATTTATCAGGGATAATGCAGAGCTAAGAGTTTATTCACAGCTTTGATGCTAGTACTCACCTTTATATGGTGGGAAGCTTCACCCCTACATGGAACTTGTGAGTAATTGTCTACTTCATACAGTTGTTCATGTTCACACAGCAGCCTTCAAAAAAATTATCCAAAATAAAGACAGATCTGTGACTCATCCTAAGAGGATGAAGACTTTGACATTCCTTCAATAAAGCTGTTGTTCTCCAGCCTAGTGAGTTTGGGTCAGGGAAATGGAGTGCGAAGTCTATCATGGCTGTCTGGGAGAAAGGGGAAAATGGTTTATAATGAGGAGAAGGGATGGAGAGAATTTTATCCGCTCTTGAAAGTTTTAAGAATTTGAAGTTATACACTGTTAAGTGTTCAATACTAAAAACTGTAAAATATGGTTGATCTGCAGTTGTTCCTTTCTTTGCTGCCTCTTCATTTTTCTAGTCCTGCCTTTTCTGACCCACCACGTGGTTCCCTGAACACATACTAGTGCCTTCTCCAAGAATACCTCCCATCTACAGTCTGAACTCCCACAGTCTGTCTCCCCAGTTTTGGCCCTAGTTCCCATATCACAGTCTTCACAGTCTTAAAGTTTTCCTTTCCTAAATCCTTTCCTTCCTGTCCAGTCCCACCTCAGTTGATGTCTAACTTGAACACATGTTGCTACAAATACAAATACAAATACAATCAGATATAGGGTCATTTCAGTCTTTGGATGTAGAAAACAGGAGAAGTTATTAGGATAACCTGGTCTTCAGAGTGAGACACTGCAATGCAAAGACTTCCCAGGACTCAAACTGAGATAGAAAGACTCAAAGATGTGTTTCCTTCAAACTATTTTGAATAATGTCAGAGTGTGAATCTGAGGCTGTAGGCCTGAGCCTTCTTTTTTTTTTTTTTTTTTTTTCTCTCAAATAACAGTAAAAATATTTTCAACATATTACAAAAATGCACTTCTGATTGTAGCATGTTTCTGTCATTATATATCCCTACTGATAGAATCACAGAAACACCAAGGCTGGAAAAGATCTACAAGATCACCCAGTCCAACCATCCACCCATCACCTACAGTTCTCACTAAAAAATGTCTCTCAACAGAAAATCCAAATGTTCCTTGAACACCTCCAGGGTCGGTGACTCCACCACCTCCCTGGGCAGCCCATTCAGTGCCTGACCACTCTTCCAGAGAAGTAGCATTTCCTAACGTCCAGCCTAAATCTCCCCTGGCACAGCTTGAAGCCATTCCCTCTGGTCCTATCACCAGTAACAGGAGAGAAGAGGCCGACCCCCAGCTCACTACAACCTCCCTTCAGGAAGTTCTAGAGAGCAATAAGGTCTCCCTTGAGCCTCCTCTTCTCCAGACTGAACATTCCCAGCTCCTTCAGCTGCTTTAAATGTTGCAGGATCAGAGGAGTTGTAAAATAGGTTCTAGTTGCCAAAACTAGGACACTTGGAGGAAGGAATTCTGGAATTCTAATGCAAACATTTCTCTCCACTTTAAATCTCCATAAAACGATGACGTAATCATCATGTCACATCATCATACAAAACATGACAGTTGTTTATTTTTTAAACACTACTTTTGCTGAATCTTAATTAATAACATACTTTTATTTAATATAAAGTTGAAGAGAAAATTTAGATTTTTTTTTCACCCTCTCATTTCTTACAGGATGGAAAGGCACACTGTTAGGAATTTCCATGGCCACAGTAAACGCTATGGTATCTGAATACAGATGTAATGTGAAAGATATCCTTGTGGTCCTGGGTCCATCTGTAGGACCTTGCTGCTATAAACTTCCTCGTGAATCAGCTGAAGAGTTTCACAGAATTGATCCAAAGTGTGTGCGACAGTTTGACTCTGCAGCTCCATATATTGATATTAGAAGAGCAACACGGTAAGTCTGCGGAGTGCATTTCCATGGCAAATAGCTTTTTTATTTTGGCTATTTTTGTGCTGAGTAAACTAGATATGAAAGCAAAAGGACTCATAGTGCTAATTCCACATTAGTTATCAAAATAGCATTGCCCAGCAATATTATGATGAGGGTCCCCTCCATCCTAAAGTGCTCTCTAGTACTTTATAGGTCAACAAATGATACCTTTTGAATGAAAGGTATCTACTCACTTTTGCTGGGATTCAACTATTATTCTGCTGTCATATTTTTAGTTTTTGGATTTTATATATATATATATATATATATATATTAGAAACATTTAATTTGAAATATATATATATATATTTATTTCAAATTAAGTGTTTCTAATGGCTGCAGAAAAGATTGCATATGGTGGTCCAGACCACAATATGAGCACAATTAGTTCAGTTGGTGCTTGAGCTTCTTTCTGAATAGTGTGAATTACAGAATCATAGAATGGCCTGGGTTGAAAAGAACCACAATGATCATCTACTTTCAACCCCCTGCTGTGTGCAGGGTCGCCAACCACCAGACCAGGCTGCCCAGAGCCACATCCAGCCTGGCCTTGAATGCCCCCAGAGATGGGGCACCCACAGCCTCCTTGGGCAACCTGTTCCAGTGTGTCACCACTTCCTCCTAATATCTAACCTAAACCTCCCCTGTCTCAGTTTAAAACTGTTCCTATTAAATGTGGAAATGTAAAAAAAAATGTTTTGTTTTCTGTTTGTCTTCTTTGAAGGATTCTTCTGGAGAGTGGTGGCATTCTTCCTGAGAACATCCAAGATGATTCTGTCACAGACCAGAACCAAAACATCACTTTCTGTACTGCATGCCACCCTGATAAATTTTATTCTCACTTTCGTGATGGCACTAACTTTGGTACACAGATTGGTTTCATATCAATCAAAGACTGACAGAGTACTCCATAATATGAAGTATTATTTAGACAGTAAGTCTGGTTGCCTTGTGCTCTCCTCACAGAATTTCTTCCTTCTTTGTTTCATGAACTTGCAATGGGAAGTACAAAGCACTTGAGATTCTTCTGCTTCTTCCCTTCCCTGCCATTCTGAGGAAAGAAGAGCTGCCTTGTGTAAGGAGCCAATAATTCAGAAGGAAACAAGGACAATCCACAACAGTAATGAAGCACTTCTGTAATGCCAGGTGCACGTTCCCAGCCAGATGCAAGTCTCTATTATCTTGCCCTCTTGACCAAATATTTCCCATAAACTTCATTATCTTAAGGTAGTAAAAACACACACAAAAAAGCCACTACAGTCTTAATTAGCTCCTGGATTAGTCTTCTGAATTAATTTAAGGTTGACATTACTAATGAAGAAAAGGAAACCTGTATTAACTCTTTGGGTTACACCCCACTGTAGTAATTTCAGCAAAAGGTTCACATTATGAAATTATGTGCCTGGGATTGTTTCTGTTTGGATTAGTTTAAGGAAGTGCACCAAGATACTTAAAGAAAATAACATGAAGATAGGACAGAAGCAAGATCCCTCAGGAAAGATACTGCAAACATATTAATGTTTCATTTATTGTGTTCCAAATGAATAACAATTTCATGTTATTCATTTGAACACTCCTTAATTGTAAAAAAAATACAACTAAGACTCAATATAAGCTAGATAAGATAGCATGTATGTTCATGTTTCCTGAGGATATTTTCTTTAAATCAGTTGTGCTCTGCTAACGTTCACTTAGATAGTTCTGTAGTGCCAAGTAATTTAATAAATATAAAAAAAATGAGAGAGAATATAGCCTCAGTTAATTTTCCAGCAGTTGGCACTCTTATGTTCCTAATAAATTCAAAGTGTGCACCGTTTTCTTATGGCTATAGAAAATTTGCCTCCAGATGTTGCAAACAGATGTCGAAAGACCAGGTTGCATAGGGGGCTTTGAACAACCTGGTGTAGTGGGAGGTGTCCCTGCTTATGGCAGTAGGGTTGCAACTGGATGGGCTTTAAGATCCATTCCAACCCAAACCATTCTCTAATACTATGCTTCTGTGTGATAATTTTTGATATGTGAACAGTGAAACTTCCCATTCTCTTCAAGTTCGGTTGTGTTTTGTCCACTAGAGGTCAGTGCTCGCTCACTTTGCTGTTCCATCCTTGGCTGCTGCGTGTATTTGGGTTTTCAAACAGAATTTTGTAAAGCACTGTAGAGCACTTTTGCCTGTGTCATCATCTGCCATGTTATTCTGATATAGGTGCTTGAAGAGCGATCTGTTTTTCATTTTGTTGGGCTGTGATTCAGAACTGACAAAATTGAAAGTTTCCTTGTCCTCTGCGAGAACAGATATTTTAAACGCTTTTATTTTACTTTTGAATGGCACTTGTCAGAGAAAGACTTGGTACTGAGTATGTTGCCTTCCGACTATAACTAAATACTAAAAATATTTCCTCCAATTCTCCTACTTTATTAGAAATATTATCTGCCTTCTGCTGTAGTACCACAGTTTCAGTTCAGAATAAAGGTCCAGTTACCTCTTAAAAACCTCACCAGGATTTTCATCATTCTTGGTTTCTGTAAATTCACTGTGGTGATGTTCACAGCTGCGGTCAGACTGGATGTTCAAGATCCAGGAGGAACAACGCTCTGCAAGCTTAAAGCTACCAAGCATGTTACTGCATGACAGCTAGTCATGTGTGGCATGTGTATGTATTGTGTGTATGTATATATGTGTATTATCAACTTATTGGAAGTATAGAATGATATAAGCACGCTTAAAGACTTGTCTTGATGTGCTGGATTAAAGCAACCTGCTTTCACCTTTCAGTTCTGCCCCTGTGCCCCAGTATCTCAGTGTGAACCATTTTATGGGCACTAATTGATGTAGCAGGAGAATGATGCAGGCAACTTCCCTTCTGCTGTTTCAAGTACGGAGGCAGCAGCACCATGCTGCCTCCATTCAATCCCTGCACCTACAGCTCTGACAGAGCTTGTCAGCTTCCTTCTCCTAATCTTCTTCCTGGGTGGGTTGAGAGCATGCAATCCAAAGCAGTGGAGTTACTCAGCTTACAAGGCACTGCTCAGCTGCTGAAGCACATTACAGATACCCACGTGCCTGCTGTTAGCCCAGCTCACCTCCAAGATGGTTTTTACAATAATGCATTTTGCTTTGTAGTGAGTAAAAAGACCTTGAGGCCATGCTAGTTACCACAGTTCAAATGCTCAAACAGCACAGTAAGTAACAGTAACTTGATAGCGATGGTAAACCCTGGCTTGTTGCTACTTGCTTAAGAACAACAGCAAAGACTTCTGTTTAGAAAAATACCATTCACAGGTCACGGTAGGACTGTACAAGCTGGGCAGGGTGTGGGAATGAGAAGAAACACCACAGGCTTTACCTTTTAGAAGGCAAATTGATTGCACAGTCTTTGATCATTAGTTCTTTTGCACTAAATTAACCTACACTATAAACCTGTCAAGACAGGAAGCGGGCTTTTGTATATAGATCATTGAGGTGGAGAACTCCAATAAATAAATAATAATAATAATACCGAGTTTCCAAACGGGTTGAGTTGTATATTATGCAGAGTCACTGCCAAAAATAACACATTTATTTTTGATTAAATAATAATAATAATAAAGCTTAAAGCAAGGTCATGATAAAAAGCAGAAAACATTATTTTGCATCTGTATGGAAGGATTTTTATTTATTCATTTTTATTACTGCTGCTCACTTAAAGGTCCCAAGCAGATCGCACCTGATTCACTGCCGCTGGGGAAGCTCCTAAAAAACTTCATGAACTGTTCGTCTGTGCCTTCCAATTGACCTGCTCTCATTCATTAATCTCACCCATGAATAAATTAGCTGCCTCTGTCCCATTATTAAGTTATTAAATAGCATTATTAATTATGATTGTGGTTTGCCCTGAGGAGAGAGCAAATACAGGATCACACTGAATATTGGTTTGGGTAAACATTACTGTGCAGTTATCATTTTTTGCTCATGTCAGTGCTGAACATGGGTCTCTTTAATTGCATTCATATATCAAAATGGAGTGTACGAGATATGTTTGAGAAAGGCTTTATTTTTTATTTCTGTAAAATGGTGATGCAGCACCACTGCAGTTCTGGTGTCTCTTTCCCAACCGTAACATGGTTTCTAAAGCTATCTTTTTTTTGCCTCCCTTCTTCTTTTCCTCATGCTTAACTCTTCCCCTTGCTGTCTTTCTGTACAGCACCACTCACAATCCCCCTGCAGGGATTATGGGTCCATTCTCTGCAAAGCAGCATAATTGTTCCTTTCCATTGTATACATATACCTTTTTTTTTTTTTTAATTCTAGCAGCAGCGTGAAACTTTTATCCTCTAACCCATTCCCATTTTCCAGGTTTCTGCAGGAGCTCCTAGTGCCTACCCTACACAACAAACAAGTCAGTGTTCCTGGATTCCCTCATTGCCATCCTCATTTCCACTCCATGCTCGATTTGCTGTTGGGTGATGCAGAGAGGGAGCTGCGCTGCGCTCATTTGTCCCGCGGCTCAGCGTGTGTATGTGTGCACACTGATGTCGTGTGCACCAGGCTTTTGTTCTCAGAGAGCCTACGTCCTCTCTGAGCTGCAGCCTCCTGTTCAGTAATTTAACAGGACAGTGCAGTGGCAGGAACAGCAAATCGTATATGTGACAGAGGAAATTATGTATTGACCTGCTGAGAGATTTGCATCCCTCTGCGGATGGGCTGCAAGCTCATCCTGCGATGCAGACTTGTTCTACTTTCTGTTTCCAGCAGATACTACCCACTGTTTCCAGATGAATGGCTCATTTAGAAATGAATGTGGATTTACAGACTGTCTCAACTGGGTATATTCTTGTATCCAGGATGCTATTAATTGCTATCTGGTATCACGTTTTCACAAGAACAAGAGCTTTTGCTGCTCTTCTTGCATTAAGTACACAGTGCCTGTGGCCGTGCTGCTAAAAAACATTACTAGCTTTCCCATAGGCACGCAGAGAAATAGGAAGCTAGCTTTTTAAATTCATCCTTCTGATTTGTCATTAGTAAGCGTTTAATTTATAGTAGCATCTCGTGTTACAAATACTTTGCTGCCTCTCTTTGTCTGCAAGCTCATGAGGGTCAAAGGAGGCCTGCAGAAGAATTTCAGCAGCACAGTCCCTGGAGGGCCGCAGGGCCGATGCCTCTGCTCTGCTTCTGCAATTCTGACGTTGTGTCTCCAGGGCAACCTGGATTCTGACAGTCATAGGAGCAAGGGCACGAGATGGATTTCCATTTGATTCCTGAAAGAGAAAAGGGATCTGAGACAAAATCAATATGCCACTCCACTACAGGAGTTCATTTTCACAATTTTATCCAAGGGATCGTTTCCTCTGTTCTTGGTCAAATGTGGTTCATGACTTATAACCATGATTGTTTTTCATCTAAACATCCGAAATGGGTTGAGACTTGAAAATGCGGGGTGCGCCTGCCCACACAACAGAGCATTTTATAAGGGAAGCTAAAAGCAATGTTTGTATTTCAAGATGTATAATTTCACTTTCTGTTATGTGATGTAATGTTTTTAGACGGTGATTCATAATTTTGGCCCAGTGTTTCAGTTTCAACTGATTTTATCAGTAACAGCAATAGAAAGCCCTATCTATCTGATATAAGTATTTTCACATTTCTCTTTGGGCTCTGTCCTAAAGGAATATTCAAGTGCATGCACTGGTGAAGCAAAACATTTCTGTGCTGCTTTGGCTTTCTTTGTTTGAAAGCTATGAGCTTGGCTTTCCTGTGCATGAATGAATGTCAAAAAACGCCAGTTCTAAAAACAAAGTTGTGGCAGGTAGCTCAGATCTTCTAGTAGGTTTTAATAGCTGCTTCTGGCACTTCATAAAATTGATTTTAAATGAAACAGAGTTATCCAGAACACTTTTTCTTTCTGAATCTCTGCTTTCTGTTCTACATGATCCCCATAGAAATCTTTCAGAACTTGAAAGGTAAGCAGAGTAAAAAGTGAATTAGAGAAGCTCCTGTGGGTAGATGTGGACAATTTCTTGCCACATCTGATGCTCAGACTTTCTTCAGTTCTCTCGATTAGCTTGGAACCCTGGTTAGGTTATCCCACCACTGAAACGTCCCAGCTTGTGTAACCATGTGCTTAGCAATGGCTGCAACACAGCAGTAGCCCTGATAGTGACATCTATGTATCAGCATTCCTTCAGTCTGTATTGATGTCAGCATAAGGCACCACTCAGAGGGTGCTGACACACTGGAACGGGTTGCCCAAGGAGGCTGTGGCTGCCCCATCCCTG